ATAAAAGAATTATTTGAACGCAAAAAATGAATCATGTCAAATTGGTGTCGTTATCTGGGACTAACAGCAAGTTAATGATTTATTTCTTTTTTTTATAATTTATGTCCAAGAGAAACCCGAGAGAATTACTAGATTTTGACTTGGAGATCGAAGTACGAGCCTGAAGAATCCACGTACAAACGTTTTGAGAGAAAAGAAAAAGTCTATAAGAACAAGAGAAGAGTTTAGGAAGAGATCCAGATTTAGAGACAGATTATGAAGTTGATGCATATAGTGAGACAAATTATGAAGATTAGATCCCATGGCAGAAGAACAAGTGATCCGAAAGCTAGCTACAGCTCCTAGCACTCAGATGTCGTTGTGTATAGCCTTTCCTCAAGGCGGGACTCTGTTCCAATTAAATATAAGACTGGTTCATCTACTTCCAATTTTTCGCAGTCTTCCCAATGAAAATCCGTACAAACACTTGACATAATTTCAAATTGTTTGCTCTATCATGAAACCACATGGAGTTACCGAGGACCAAATAAACCTTAGAGCTTTCCCTTTTCCTTAGTCTATTCGGCTAAGGAATGACTATTTTACTTAACTCGAAATTTAGTTAATTCATGGGCTAATATGAGTCAAAATTTTCTTGATAGATACTTCCATTAAAGAAAGCGAGTTACGAAGGAGCATTTTTCAATCCAATAAAACCACGAAGAAAATCTCTATGATTATTGGGAGCGCTTTAGAAAAAGCTTTGCGTAAGTTGTCCACAACACGGATTAACCGAGCAAACGCTTCTTTAATATTTTTATGAAGGCTTCTTCCCATGGAAGTAAAGATGATCGACGCCGCTAGTGGAAGAGCTCTCGTAAACATGAATCCAACAACAAAGAGGGAATTAATTTCGATAATGGAATCTACATCTCAATAATTTTCAAGTGAACCCAACCAACGGGTTCACGAGATAAGTACATTTTCCATTGAAAATAAATTAGATAAATTAATTGAAGTGGTTAATTCACTTGTTGTAGGGAAATCCGGAGTATCAAGAACCTGTGGGATCTACACGATATCGGATAATCTGATGGACTATTGCCCGATGTTGCAAAAAGTAGGTGACACACAAGTCAACCCTATAGTAAGATTTCTAGGACCTCCCCAAAAAACCGTACAATTGATATAGAAGCACATACAACTTGGGATGGTGAAACCATCCTAATTTTAATTATGCATAAAACACGAAGCCGACATTTCAGCCAATGTCACCTCCACAACAACAAATGCAAAAGACATCATTGGAGGCGATGATGGAGAAGTTGGCAATTTCCCAGGAAAATTGGTTACTTCATAGGAAAAAATCCAAATCCGAATTAAAGCGTATTTTCACAAGTTAGATAAGCAAGTGATCTAACTGGCTCAAACCGTGGGGAGATTAAATTTGTATGGAAGACTACCCAAACGGAGTTAAATCCGAGAAAGAATATTAGTGCTATTACCTTCTGAAGTGGAACTATTATTACGCCTAAAGACCCAAACGAGAATACCGCAAAATCCAAAAAGAATAAGGAAATGACATATTCCAACATTCAATGTACATCTTCATCGTCTACTCCTCCTTCTTCTTCTCCCCAAGAAATCGATCCTCCTCCTTCCTCCCTATCCATGAAATTACACCACCCTTTCCATCGAGATTGATGAGGCATGACAAAAGAGCCGAAGAAAAAGAGATCATACAAGTATTCCTAAAAGTACAAGTTAACATACCCCTTATTGATGTAATCTGACAAGTCCCGTGGTATGCTCGATTTTAAAGGAACTTTGTACTACTAAGAGGAGGTTGATAAGTCACGAAAACGTAAATTTGGGAGAACATGGTTCTTCAGTTTTGACCTAAAAACTTCCATCAAAGAATAAAGATCAAGGTATGTACATACCTTTTAAAATAGGTAATGTTTCAATTAAACGTGCAATGTGAAATTTAGGAGCTTCATTAATGTTATGTCACTTTCTGTTTATAAAATGATTACTAACCAATATTTGAAGGAAACAAGAGTGACAATCTAATTAGCGGATCACTCTGTTATCTACCCTGAGGGAGTGCTTAAAAATGTCTTAGTGAAGGTCAATGTTCTCATCGTTCCTTCTGATTTCTATGTCATCGATATTGAAAATGATAGGGTGAATACTTGTTCCGAAGTACTTCTAGGATGACCCTTCCTAAGCACTACGCATACAAAGATTGATGTGAGAAGCGGTATATTAACAATGGAGTTTGATGGTAAGATCATTGAATTTGACGTTATAAAGCTATGAAATACCCAGATCAAGTTGAAAAAATTAATTTTGTCAATATTTTAGATCATTTAATTGATGAGTTCATTGAAACTAATTTTACTTATGGAGCACTTGAAATATGCCTTTCTAAGTAAAACTAAGACCTTACCGGTAATCATCTCATATAAGTTATCTGAAAAAGAATAAGAAGCATTGGTAAAGGTGTTGTGAACACACAAATAAGTCATAGGATGGACTATTGGCAACATTATGGGACTTAGTCCCTTGACTTGCATGCACAAGATCAAGATTGAAGAATGAGCAAAGCTGTCACGAGAAGGACAACGTCAATTAAATCCACCAATGATGGAAGTGATAAAGAAATAATTCAGAAACTTCTTGATGCTGATGTGATCTATCCAATTTTAGATAGTAATTGGGTAAGTCTGATTCACGTAGTTCCCAAGAAAATGGGAGTTACATTGATCAAAAATTAAGAAGGGGAGTTAGTGCCGACAAGAGTTCAGAACGAATGGCGAGTCTGTATTGATTAGAGGAAGTTAAACTCTCTCACTAGAAATGACCATTTTCCTCTTCCCTTTATAGATCAGATGATTGAGAGATTAGCCGAGAAAACTCATTATTGTTATCTTGATGGCTTTTCACGGTTTTTTCCAAATCTCGGTGGTACCGAAAGATCAAGAAAAAATTACTTTTACCTATCCATTCAGCACTATTACATATCGTCATATGCCCTTTGTCCTTTCTAACACACTGGCTATTTTCCAAAGATGTTTGCTTAGAATCTTTTCCAATTGTGTGGAAAAGGGTATCGAAGTCTTTATTGATGACTTCACAATTTATGGTAATTCTTTTGGTGAGTGCATTGAAAATTTAACGAATGTGCTTAAAAGATGCTTATAATTTAATCTTGTCTTAAACTATGAAAAATGTCATTTTATCGTTGATAAGGAATTAATTCTAGGACATATTGTTTCATCTGATGGTATTGTCATTGATAAAGCTAAAACAAATATTATACACTCACTACATTACCCTACGACTATGAGGGAGGTTCTTTCTTTTCTTGTCTATGCAGGTTTCTACTTGAGATACATCAAAGGTTTCTCAAAATTGGCACGGCTGATGTGTGAATTACTATAGAAAGATGAAGTCTTTGACGTTAGTCTCGAGTGCAAAGAGTCATTCGGTGTACTTAAAAAAAACTAATCACAACACCAATCGTCAAAGCAAAAAAATTGGGATTACAATTTAAAGCTTATGTGTTACGTATCGAGCACGAGCGTTGGAGCCTTTCTTGGGGAAAGAATTGGCAAGGAACCACATGTTATTTCCTACACTTCACGAACTTTGGATCCATCTCAGAGAAATTACTCCACAACAGAAAAAGAATTACTTTCTATTGTTTTTGCTTTAGATAAGTTTAGATCTTATTTATTGGGAACTATTGTTTTCTCTGAACATTTAACTCTAAAGTACCTGATGAGAAAAACAGAGGCGAAACCAAGGCTTATCCGATGGATCCTACTGTTACAGGAATTTAACATGGAAATAAAGAACAAGAAGGGATACAAGAACCTAGTTGCAGACCATTTGAGTTGTATTCCATTTTCTTAATCAATCCACCACATCGAGAAGAATTTTCAAAGGATCATCTGATGTTGGCGACAAAATCAATTCCTTGGTATGTGGACATGGTAAATTATCTAGCCACAGGTAAACTACCATTAGGTTTACCTAAATATGAAATTAATCAATTAAAGAGAGAATCCATATTTTATGTTTGGGATGATCCCTACTTGTGAAAAAATGCTCGAATAAAGTAATTAGGCGATGCATTGTTGAGGAATAGGTAGGTTTTATACTTAATTTATGTTACTCTTATTCGTGTGGTGGTCACTTTGGACCAAAGTGTCCTGCCTGTAAAATTTTGGAGTGTGATTTCTTTTGGCCTACGATATTCCGTGATACTTATTTATTTTGTAAATAATATGAGAAGTGTCAACATGCAAGGAATTTAAGCCAAAGAAATGAATTGCCTCAAAATCTAATTTATGTCTATGAGACTTTTGATGTGTAGGGTCTCAATTACATGGTTCATTTTACTTCATCATTTGGAAATGTTTATATCATATTTACTGTTTATTATGTTTCTAAATGGGTAGAAGTTAAGGCTACCCAAAATAAAAATGCCATGACCGCTACTAATTTTTCTGAAAAATTTTATCTTTTCCAGGTTTGGCACACAACGAGCGATAATATACAATCAACGAACCCATTTCATCAACAAGGTGATTGATGCCCTCATGAAAAAGTTCAGAGTAACTCAACATATTGCCAATGCTTACCATCTATAGACGAACAAAGAGGCTAAAGTGTCGAACTTTGAGATTAAAATGATTCTAAAAAAATCTTGAAGTTGGATCAGAAGGATTAGAGCCTGAAGCTTTCAAACGAATTATGGGCATATCAAAATGCATATAAGGGTCCTATTGAGATGTCTCCATGTCGACTCATTTTCGGTAAGCCATGCCATTTGCTAGTTGAGTGGGAACATCGAGCCTACCCACCACATTCCCCCCCCCCTAAATCGCAACATTATCCAATTTGTTTCTTTTAGCCTCCCAACTTCTCCTATCACTTTCAAACTTCTTCCTTATCATCTTTTGATTAAACAAAATTATCTCCCCATTATTTTATCCTTTGTCCAAATTTAAACTACCTTTATCACCAAACTTTCTTCTTCCTATTTCACACTTGAACCAAAAGAGAAAAAAGTAATCCATCTTCTCCTTGCCTAAGACGTACGTCGTTCCTTTCCCAAGACTAAAGAACTACAACCGCCCTACCTCCTCTACAACCGCTCTACCTCCTCTCCACCGTCGATTATCACCGTCGTTATTTTCCTAACTCTGATTAGTTTTATTTACCTTTTCCATAATTCTTTCATTTAATCTCTTGATTTCCATCATGGTGCGAACTAGAAGCCAAATCGGTAACCCAACATGACCACCGGTCACTCTCGGTGGATGTCGTTGGCGCTTCACTGTATCACTCACGGTGAAGGTGTCGAGCGGTTCGGATTCACTCCTTCTGCTCGACGAGGTGGGTGTCGTACGCCACAGCCACGTGCGTGTTCTTGCACACTAGAATTGATCTACTTGCATGAACCATCTACCTCCGCCACTGCCGAGTACTCCTTAATCGATTTCCTTATACTGCCACAAAACTCAACTGCGACCAGTCTATCAAGATCACGGCTGAACCATGCTTCATCATCGGCTACCCAAACTTTCAACACATCACATTTGGGTTCTCACTCTCAGTCAAAGCTAGATGTTGCTCTATCATTTGTCGCCTACTCGGCCACTCCCGAGCAACCCGAGGTAAACTCTAACCGGTTGATATTGAATCTCTGATGATGTGGCCCCTAATCGAGCCCGACATCGTCACAAGTTCCTAAGTATTCTTCATTGTCTCGACAATTTTTTGGGCAGCCCATGCTTTAAACTTTACCGTAAATTCGGATGAAACTGACGAATAAGGCGATGATGATTTTAATCATTTCAATGATAGAAACTTACGCGACCAAACTTATTCAATTCTGGATGAAGAGATGTTGGAAGGACACCTCGATTTTGATGATGCCGAGGCATGGCACTTGGATAGCATCTGTCACAGATGATTTCAGGTTTACAAATATATCCCATCTTGAATCTTGAAACTTTACAATTAAGTGGCGCTTTGTTGCACTATTTTGATGCAATTGGTTGGACACCTTATTCTCATATTAGATGTGATACATATTAGGAGCTGGTATTTGAGTTTTATGCCACTTTCTTTTCCACAGAGTTGTATCGTTACTTTGCGATTAATAGGACAACACTTTAGAATGACGTTGAATGTTTTTAACTTTTCTATGAGGTTCATGACGTATGTCATGAACCATGGTTATCTAACGTCTTTACGTTAGATTTTGAAGGATTTCAATACCGATATCACCTACACGACACTCACCGGCTTGGAGGGAGTTCAATTCGATTCTCGCACAACAAAGGCGTGGGACATCCATGACCCAACTCTCCGTTACATTCAATGATTCCTAGCATACAACTACTCTGGATGTAATGATACAACGTCTTGTTTAAGTAAGGTCGAACTATTCTTTTTGGGATGTATGCAAACGGGAATGAAGGTAAATTTTGGATATTGGTTTGTGTGCACCTTTGATAAGGTTGTGTGATCCAATCGTCTCTTAATTATCGACCCTTATATTACGTATCTAGCTTCTCTTTTGTTTCCATTAATATTCGATACTGTGAATTTTACTTACGCTTTTCCTATGGATGCATTAGATTCTAGATGCTTGGACACAATGGACCTTCTCACCGGAAATCAAGCTGCCCCACATATTGTACCTCCCGACACCATTACGCCTCACCATGAGCGAGTTTTCTTAAGGAGGATCGAGTCACCACCAGCACCGGCAACAAGCGCACAACCAGATCTGCGAGAGGAAATGTAAGGCGTACAAAGCCACCTCGCTTCCATGGAGATCAATCTCACCGAGATCCTTTTTCCACCTTCACTTGGGCTCATCTCGACGTAGCCGTGGCCGCGACAGTTACTAGATTGGGGAGTATTTCTTTTCCCTCTTTTTTTCCTTCATTTTGAATTTCATTTTAAGACAAAACGATTTAAGTGAGGGGGAGGGATAATGTTCAATTTCACCTCACTTGTTGATGGGTGGAATTGAGTAATTTTGATGTTGATATGTTGGGATTGTTTGTTGCCTATTATTTTGTTCAGTTGATTGTTTTAATTTTTTTGATGAATTTTTAATTTTGCTTTAAATTGAGAGTTGGATGCATGATGGTTAGTTGGCATAGCTAGTGAATTATTCATGAACTTTTTTACAATCCATAGTTATTGGTTGAATTGATGCTAGACTTGATACATTGAGCCTATTCTTGTGAGCCTTGAGCCTTATGAGCATATATTTTTCATTCTTGCTCTTTGTTTCTTTGTGTATGTCGAACTAGTTTTAGCATTCTAGAACTTTTGGTGTAATACTAGTTTAGACTACATGCATGAATTTGATGTGTTTAAATGATAAAGGCACTAGGATTTACCTTTTCACTACCCAAAAATGCATACCCTTTTGTTTAACCCTTAGTGTACCAAGTTTGAGCCGATTTTCCCTTTTCTTTTCACTTCATCAAATTAAACCCAAAACCTTTTTTTTATTGAAACTTATCTTTTCATACACTTTCCGAGATCATCTATATCATCCTGGTTCCAAGAAAAAGATGAAAAACTAGTTTCAAAAAAAGAAAAAAAGAAAAAAGCAGAAAACAAAAAAAAAACAATGTATTGTTCACTATTTCGAACAAAAAAACATACCCTTTGTTCGAATGAAAAAAAAGGAATGAAAAATTGGTTGTTTCAATTGTATTCCATCTATTATTTTTTATTGTTCCATTTTTTTACCTTCATATTAATTGTGGATTGTTCCTAATATTTTGATCTCTTGTTTTGGCACTTTAAACCTTTCTTTTCACCTTTTTCCCTACCCATGCCTTAGCCACATTGCAACCCATATTAAAGACTTCTTGACTTTTGCATCTTATTCAATTTAAAGTGGTGAAGAATGGATTTAATCACAAGCTTATGATAATGCTTTGATTGAGTGTTTCTTTATCCTTAAACACTTTGAGCAGAATGAGAGAATCTTTTGTGAGGGTATTGAGTCTTGCATCATGGGATTAATGAGTCGTTGGAATGTCTTGTATTGCCTTAACTTATTTCCTAGCTTTTCCACTTGCTTGATTGTTTTCTAGTTTCAAATAATTGCTTTGATTATTGGTTCATTGGAAGATTAATGCATGATGTGAAATAGAGAATGACAACTTATAATTTTGACATGTTGATTGAGAAATGCTTGAGGACAAGAATTAGGCAAGTGAGGCGGAATTTGACTCGTTTTTGTTTTGTGATACATTTTATGCTTAAATGTTCCTTGTTTATTCATTATTATTGTTGATTTGGGCTCGAAAACTGCACTTTTTATTATGGAATCAAGGTTGTAACAGTGGTCATGAAATGCTGACGTGGCTATGAGTCAGCAACTTCTAGAAGGTCCAGTCAGCAGCGTTCAGTCAATAATTCTAGAAGGTGGACGGATGGCTAGAGCATTTCAAGCATTTTGCATTCAAGTTTTTGAATTATGTTTTTAGGATTTTAAGTTTAAATAATTATTTTTTGTATTTTTAGCTCATTTCTAGGTTTTTGGAAGCTATAAACACCCACTTTGGGTAAAGCTTCAAACACATCTCGAATTAGCATGTTCTTCTCTTCCTTTAAGTTTTATAAAATTTATTTCTTCTCTTCCTCTAAGTTTTCAACTTCAACGTGAGAATTGAAAAAGTAATTAAATAACTTCGAAAATCTTTCTCGATTTCTTGCGTTTATTTTCAAAAAAAAATCAAATTGATTTCTCAACCAAAGATTGATGTTGGTTAGGATGTTATTGCGATTAAACGTGTGAGAGGAAGGATCAACTTATTGAAAGCACATTTGACTTCCTGGGAACACACTTGGCAAGTTGATTGCTAAGGGGGAATTGAGATCGAAATATGTTATTATTGAAACAATATAATCTGAGTCGGTCTTTTATGAACTTAATTGGTTCTTGGTCTACAACAATTGATGTTGATTAGATTAATTTCCAAAGATGAAATCAAAGGTTGTACTTGGGTATTCGGTATACAAAGCATAGTCACAATGATTGATCCTTGTAAACAAGTAACCGACGTGAATCCCAAAGTAAAAAACCATTTTCAATGATCAGATGAAACTGAGTCAAAGAGATAGCCCAAGGCTGATTTACCATATTGAATTCACTTCTTTTAAATCTTCTTCTTAATCTTTTTTTACTTTTTAATATTTCTATTTCCTTATTTTTATTTTATTTTACTCTCTTTATCTACAAGCCCCCATCATCACTCAAAAATTACTTCATCCACTTCTTGGCTCAAAGATTAAATCAAGCATAAATCAGGGAGTTTTCTTAGTCTCTGTGGGATCAACCCTTACTTCTCCTTTTCTATGTTTAATTTCCTTTAAATATTATATGAGAAGAAATAAATTATTTTTGACACGAAAAATGATGTGTGTCACTTTTACAGAATATTTTGGCTGATTGTTGGAGAAGTTGTGTTGCAGCTTTGCTTGGATTTGTTGGAAGGTAGGGTAAACATGTCGGGTGTCAACACCACAGTTCTAGTTCTTATTTCGAAGACCAAGAAACATGATAATCTTTGACAGTTCTGACTGATTGTGCTTTGTACTATAATCTACAAGGTGATCTCCAAAGTCTTGGTTAATCGTCTTCGACTGATCCACTCCACTTATATTGATAAACATAAGGTTACTTTTCTTCTTGATAGACTCATTTCAGACAATGTTTTGATTGCCCATGAAATGATACATTATTTGAAAACATCACGTCCGGGAACTAGTCGTGGTGTCGCTTTGAAATTGGACATTGAGAAAGCCTATAACCGAGTGGAATGGTCATTTCTCCAAGCTATAATGCTCCATTTTGGTTTTAATTCAAATTGGATTGCTCTTTTCAGTCTTGCATCACCTCGGTTACGTATTGTGCACGGGTTAATGGATGTCTAACATAGTGTTTTTGACTTGTGTGTGGCCTTCGTCAAGGGGACCCATTGTCTCCATTCATGTTTTTATTATGCTCCTAAGACCTCTCTTCAGTCCTGTATAATGAGCAGTAAACTGACCGAATTTGTGGATTACAGGTATGCCGTACAGCCCCTCGAATCACCCATTTGTTATACGCAGACGACAGCCTCTTATTTCTTCGCAATTCGGCCAATGAAGGGTTGTTCTTGAAAGTTGTGTAAATGCTTCTTGGCAATTTGTTAAGTATAATAAATCCATGCTATATTTTGGAGCTCATACACACCACTCGGTTCGTGCCGATCTTGGATCTTGGTGTCATTCTCGGGGTACAGATAATTAATGATCCTAGCATCTACTTAGGTTCACCTTTGCTCATAGGCCAGAACAAAACAACATCCTTTAGTTTTATCTAGATAAGTTGGTTACATGGTTCAGGGGCTGGATAAAGAATTTGCTTTCATACAGGGTCGAGCAGTTTACATTCAATCGGTGGGACAAGCTCTTACGGTGTATCTTATGGGTTGTTACCTACTTCTAGATAGTATCATTAACGACATGGAGTTTATCATTCGCTCGTATTAGTGGGAAAGAAGTCCTACTGATCGTGGTTGGCCAGTGGTCACATGGGATAAGATTTGTCAATCTAAACGCCTTGGGGACTCAGTTTCCGAGATTTACGATAATTTAACATGGCCTTATTGGGAAAATAGATTTTAAGGTTCATCCACTACCCACAGAGCCTTATACCTTGTCTTTTACCTAACAGTTATTTCCCAAGCGATAATATCTTTAAGGCTCGATTGGGTATAAGACCCATGTTTTCTTAGTAAGTTATCTACAAGGCGTTGCAAGCATTCCGAGCGGGGTATTTTTGAAGAGTCGGATTAAATATTCAGGTACATGTATGATTCTTTAAGGGGGAGGCTCTTATTTGATTCAATTTTTGTCAAATTATGTTGGTAATGGGGTAGCTCCCATTTTTTGTGGAGAATTTATGATACCGAACGAGCCAAGATGAGACGTTTCAAGAGTACATACTATCTTTAATCGGATTGATGCAGAGTCGATCCTGAGTCGTCTTATTGCACTAGTGTTTATTCTGTGCGTTCAGGGTACTCTTATCTTATGTGGGTTCATTGATCATTTCTTCCATCCCGCCTCTCTGTTCCTTCAAAGATTCGGTTGTTTTGGTGGCGATTGGTAAAAGATGCTCTTCCAGTTGGCTGGAGTCTTCAATTGGCAGGATTATCGGATGGTTTGTACCCTTTATGTCATACAACTGATGAAACTTGTCTTCATGCTCTCCGTGACTGCCGTGTCACTATTCATGTCTTACATTCAGCAGGTTTTCATGCTCCGGCAATTTTCAGTCCATGGGACTCCTCGGGTGCATGGTTAACGTCTCTTCTATCGATTCTAACTTCTGATGTGTTTCGTCTGTTACTAGCTGTGCTATATCATTTATGGAACCAATGGAATGTTCTTCTTCATGAGGATCGAATGTTTCTTGGGTGGCAAGTTTTTTTAGCTAGTAAGGCTTTGTTCACTTCGTTTGATGCTGCCAGAGGTTTATCAACACCCAACAGTGTTAGGAAATAAACGAGTAATTTCCCTATAACCATATTAGTGAAAATATGAAATAAAAGCGGAAAAATAATACCCGAAATCGATAACAGAGTTCGGCCAATTATGCCTACGTCTCCAGACTGCTGCAGATCTTTTACTAAAGAGAGAAAAATTTATAGGTGTTTACAAAACACTCACAGCTCACAAGAAAAACTATTTAAACTCTTTAGTATTGGGAGAAAGAAATGATTTGGGATGATTTTGAAGCTAAATCAGTTAGGGTATTTATAGTTGAAGTTAAGGACTAATCTTATAAATACCCTAAAGTATAGGGACTAAAGTTATAATTATCCCATGCTAACAAATTCAACAAAATTAAATGCACTAAATTCGGTGCCCAATCTACCGAATTTGGTGCCCCCTTTTTGTCCTTCAACAATCTCCCACTTAAAGACTGATTTTAATCTGTCTTCACACCTTAATCAATGCAGCAGCATTTATGGTCTTTTTACTCTAGCATGTCAACTGAAGCTGAA